GAGGAAAGGTTGCCTAAGAGTTGCTGACTCTCTGGGGTCTCCCTGCCTCCACAGAGATCTCTCCCATTCATGACCACATGGAGCATGATGTGCCCCATTTGGGGTACCTTGACTTGAGGATAACGTAGAAGATAAATTTACTGGTTGTTTTTTTTTTTTTTTTTTTCCTGGGCTTAGAAATGTAGGCTGTTTTTCTACTCTCTACTGCCCTCTGTTGAAAGAAAGTGGGAAGTGTAAGTCGTTTCTGCAGAACAAAGGAACCCAGTTTTCAAGGATACCAAAGATCTGAGTGGTTTAACACAGAAGCAACCAGCTAATGGGTAGGGGAGTCAGATTCAGGAGCAAGGAGAAGCTGGGGATGTCCTTGCCTTAAGCCACTTGGTCTGCTCTTCTGATGGAATGACTCTTGACTTTAGCATGACCTCAGACAGTGGTATTCATTCATCTGCACTCTAGCTTTAGACCCCTAGTGGTGAGGGTAGAATTAGAAGTTGTAGTAGAAAACTTAGGAGTTAGATTCCAACACCTAGGGTCTAAGACTCAATTGACTTGGGACCTCCGCCTCAGGCCTGTTTTGTGCTTTAACTGTATCAAGCACATTTGTCTCAGGCAAGGGTGAAGACTCGGGAGGGAAGGAACCATGTCCTAAACCAAATATGCTGAGGAGTGCTGGAAAAGGCTATTGAGAAAGTCTGAGGCTGCCTTGCTCTGTAGCAAATAAATATTTTAATAACATTTGCAAAACTGTAAATGAGGTTCTAAGCGATTCAAAACTGTTGTCTTGTTACCAGAAATAGACCTACTTCAAAGTCTCAACGTATAAAGGAATCATCTTTTTAGCTTCCAGCTAATTTCCTAAAAGTATAACTGGCTGCCTAAGCAAGAAAAGAATTTTAATAGTTTTTTTTTAATAGTTCTCTAATATTTCAAGTTCCCAGGCCTGTGAGATTTACTGACCAGAACTTTCTGTTGCACTGATGCATTCCCTTTTGAGTTTCTTTCCCAGAAACAGCAGAACCTCCTTGCAGCCACAAGATAACTACAAAGCCTCACACCACCTGTTTGTTTGGAGAAGGTAAGTGACACTCCACCACAGACTGTGTCCAAGAACCCACTGAATGGCCTACTTCCCTGCATCCTACCTGCACACACAGCTGAAAGAATGACCAATATTAACCCTCCAGCTCATTATACTACTAAAATCCCCACCCTGGGAGGGACTTAACCACCATTGTTTGATCATGGGATGTATGTACTAGCATGATTTCTCACTGCTCTTCTGTGTCCTGCTCTCCCACCCCACCCCCAAACACTTAATGATGCTCATTCCCCTCATACGTTATTCATTTCACCTCCAGAAAACCTCCTGACCCCATTGGTTGGGGAGGCAGATTTGAGGCAGTTCATACCTCCCACCTCCTGGTTGGCGTGTCCTCTGCAATAAATCTCCCTTCTTCCTTGACAATCTTCATTGTCTCTGTAATTGGCTTTCTGTGCAGCAAGCAACAGAGGGAACCTCCCCACCTTGCTGGTTCGTTAACAGAAGCACAATTCAGCTTAAATCCATATCTCTAGTTCTAGCCCAGACCTGCCCTTCCAAATATCCACTGGACATATAGTGACCACTCCACTAGTGTATCCTGCATGCACCTCAAACTCAGAGGATCCAAATCTGAATTTATCATCTCTCCCCAATTCCATCCCAGCTAAATTTCTTTCCATCATATTCCTCACCTTTTGCAAAATGTAACTAGAATAGTCTTCTTAAAGTACAAATCATATTATGTCACTTTCTTCTTAAATAATTCAGTGGCTTTGAACCACATCCTCAGGATAAAGCCCAAACTCCTTAATGTGGCCTGTCAGGCATTGTGGTTCAAAGACCCACGTATTTCACTGCAGCTTCATCTTGCTATATATACTACTCTCCTCATTCTCAAGATACAACACGCTCAGCTCTGGGGGAGAAGTTTTGGTCTCAGTGTAGGCATTGTCTCCTCCAGGTGCCTCTCCTGGCTTCCTAAGGTTGAAGGGTTCAACAATGTTTAGCCATTTCTGTCTTTAAGGTGCTTCTGCTTTAAATGTAAGTACTAATCAGAAAGGAAGTATACATGAGAAAAAAAACGGGGTGACCATTTCACATTTCTATGTCACCTCTTTTATACCTCTTTTTGTTGGGGTCTAAGGAGAGTCAAAAAGCAGGGAAGTGGGAGGCAGGGACTTGGAGGCATTAGTAAGCCCCTCCAGCAGGGCACATTGTTAGGAAGACAGCTCCTCTTAGAATAAAAGCAAATCTACTCCAGAAGGATCATAGAGTGAGCCACAAAAATTGCACTATAGAAGACCCAGATGATAACAGAATGGAATATTGATCAAATTCTCTGAAGGAAGAAAGATTTATAAACTTAGAGAAAAATACAAGAAAATGCAAAAGAAAAGAGCTATATAAAACTTTTTAAACATCTCAATGACACAAAACTAAAACCAACCCCAAATAAACTACCAATTGCAAACTGAAAAAAAAGGAATATTTATAAAAAAAATTATGTCCCTCAAAAAAGGTATTTTTTTCTTTCAACTAGATGAAGTAGAAAAAGGTATTTTTATTATACAAGAAATTAGTGAGAAAACATAGAGTTTTGATAAATATGCAAGGGCAGGAATATCAACATAGAAATCCCCAAATATTTAGCTAAGCAAACTAAATATTTAAATGTGCCAGACACTGTGCTGAGTGCTTTGCATCTAATAGAAACATAAAAGAGGAAATGCAACTGCTTAACAACATGTGGGAAATGTTCAGACACACAAGTAATCAAATAAATGCAAAGTAAAATGATGACGCACCATTTCTCATCCATCAAATTATCTATGATTAAGAAAAAGAATGTGATTAAGTGACTTCACATACATTTCTAAATGTAGTATAAATTAAAACAGTTGTTTTGGAAATACTATCAAAAGCTTAGAAATGTGCATACCCATGACATTTTTTTTTTTTTTTGAGACAGAGTCTCACTTTGTTGCCCAGGCTAGAGTGAGTGCCATGGCGTCAGGCTAGCTCACAGCAACCTCAAACTCCTGGGCTCAAGCCATCCTCCTGCCTCAGCCTCCTGAGTAGCTGGGACTACAGACATGCGCCACCATGCCCGGCTAATTTTTTCTATATATATATATTAGTTGGCCAATTAATTTGTTTCTATTTATAGTAGAGATGGGGTCTCGCTCTTGCTCACGCTGGTTTCGAACTCCTGACCTCGAGCAATCCGCCCGCCTCGGCCTCCCAGAGTGCTAGGATTACAGGCATGAGCCACCGCGCCCGGCCTACCCATGACATTTTAACTTTGCAAAATAGCCTTTGGAAATATGTCAAACTATTAATATTAATATTAAAAAAATACTCGTGCTGAACGATAAATGAAAATTAGAAACAACCTAAAATGATCAAAGTCTTGCTTAAAGTAAATTGCTTTGCTACTACATCAGCTGGAGTCTCCGTGAGCACTGAGAGAGAAGTGTATGAATCGGTTAGGTGGCTTTCTGCAGCAAGTACCAGAAAATTCCGCTCAAATGGCTTTCATAACAAGAAATATTGCGTTATGTCACATATCAAGTTTCTTGAAGGTGGAGCAGTTCCAGGGCTGTTTAATCAACATTAGTGTCATCAGTAACCAGGTTCTTCCCTCTCTTTGCTTGACTATCCTCAGCATGTCAGCCACTTCTCTCATGGAAGCAAGATGGCTGCAGCAGCACCCAGCATCACATCTTTAAGCATCACCATGTGCAAGGATAGAAGGAGAACACATTCCTTCTTGTGCCCCAGAAACCCCCTAGCAAACTGCCCCCTGAGAATTCATTGTCCAAAACTGCACCATGTGCTAAGTCCTAAGCAAATAACTAGCAAGGCAATACAATACCATGGTTGGCTTAGACCAGAGGTTCTCAAAGTGTGATCCTTGGACCAACAACATCAGCATTACCTGGAAACTTGTTACAAATGCAAAGTCTTGGGTTCCACCAGAATCAGAAGCTCTGAGGGCGAGGCCCACAAATTTGTATTTCACAAGCCCTCTAGATCACTCTGATGAAGCTCAAGTTTGAGAACCACTGGCTTAGACTAAACAAAAGTCACCTCCCAAGGCTGACTAGATCTAGCCTTCCCTAGAGCTCATGGCCACTGTAAACCTGAACAAAATTATGTTCTGTTAGCAAGGGAAAAAAGAAAACATGGCTGTGGATTAGGCAACCACTGAATAGGAGAAAGCCGCTGTTCTGGTGCCATAAATGACCCGAAACTTTTAAGAATAAAAGAAAGCTGGACCAGGAACGGTGCCTTACACACATAATACTAGCACTTTGGGAGGCTGAGAAGGGATCTCCTGGAGCCAGGAGTTTGAGACCAGCCTGAACAAGAGTGATATCCAGTTTCTACAAAAGGTAGAAAAATTAGCCAGGTGTGGTGGCGCATGCCTGTAGTCCCAGCTACTCAAGAGGCTGAGGCAGGAGGATTGCTTGAGGCCAGGAGTTTGAGGTTGCTGTGAGCTATGATGGTACCAACGGCACTCTATCCTGGGCGACAGAGCAAGACCCTGTCTCAAAAGAAAGTCAAAGGCATTAACACTGTCCTTTCCTTTCCCTGCATCCTCAATATCATTTTTCTTTAGCATTTTTATTTACAATTTCTAAAAATGTGAAAAATGTTAAGTAGTACATGTTTACGTGTCTATGTGTATTTGGAATTACTGTAAAAAAACAAGTTGCAGAATAATATGTGTCCTTTAATACATAAACAATAAAAACAAAAATTAACAAAATATAAATATGTATAGGTAGATGTGTGTTTATATGAAAATTAATGTAATGGGGAAGTTCTGGAAGGATATGCAACAAAATTCTCAGGGGTTACCCCTGAGGAAGGGTAGGAAATCAGGGGAGACGGTCATTAAGTATCACTTTCACTTTTACTTTTTTAACTTGTGAATTGTTTCACTTACTTGCAGCAAGATTATATTGTAGATCATGTGCATTTTCAAACAAAAAATTGTTTATAGCAACAGCAACAAAATATTGGTGACAGGAACAAGGATGGAATGTCTAGGTATGGTTCTGGGCTCTGCTCATGATCCCAGTGATGTTTTCAACCTTTTTCTCTTCTCCAACTGGATGGTACTGATAAAAACAAGACAGACAAAACACTATTTCCATTTATTTTTCAAAAACTAGGTTTTCTTTTTTTTTTTTTTTTTGAGACAGAGTCTCACTCTGTTGCCCGGGCTAGAGTGCTGTGGTGTCAGCCTAGCTCACAGCAACCTCAAACTCCTGGGCTCAAGCCATCCTCCTGCCTCAGCCCCCAGAATAGCTGGGACTACTACAGGCATCCACCACCATGCCTGGCTAATTCTTTCTATATATATTTTTAGTTGGCCAATTAATTTCTTTCTATTTTTAGTAGAGTCAGGGTCTTGCTCTTGCTCAGGCTGGTTTCCAACTCCTGACCTCGATCCACCCACCTCAGCCTCCCAGAGTGCCAGGATTACAGGTGTGAGCCACCATGCCTGGCCTTCTTTTTGATATTACCTTTTCTTTTCCTAGTAGACTCTGAAAATTTTGCGTGTGAGTGAATGCATGAGTTTAGGTTTATAACTAACTTTTAAATCCTAGAAGTATAATTTGCTAGCTCTGCTAGAAGATCGATTTGGCTCCCAAAAGGTGCCCAATGGCCTATCTTAGGATTTTTAGAAGACAAAGGCTACTACATTCTGCAATGTCTAGAAATGACCACTGAAGCCAACATTCCTAACTATAGAATATTTAAGATAAAAAGAGCTAGATATAATCTAGCCCAATTACCTCACTTTACAGATGAGGAAACAAGTTTAGGGAAGAGAAGTGGCTTGACAACGACCCTAGTCAGACTGAAACTGAAACCGCCATTTCCTTCCTCCTTAGCCAGTATCTTTCCCATAACATATCATGAGCACTCTTTTCTTGACACTTTAAAATTTTGCAAGTGTGAGAAGAGTCTAAGCATGTTCTGATGTAAGATAACATAAGGTGGGGCATTTATAAATGACTCTTAGGGATAACACCAAATTTTTGAAAAGTTTTTATATGGCTCTAAGCTATATTATTTTATATCATCACAACCAAAGTAAACAGGCTGTGGCTCAAGGTCATCCCACAAACTCTATTTTATTTATTTTATTTTTTTGAGACAGAGTCTTACCCTGTTGCCTGGGCTAGAGTGCTGTGGCGTCAGCCTAGCTCACAGCAACCTCAAACTCCTGGGCTCAAGCGATCCTTCTGCCTCAGCTTCCTGGGTAGCTGGGACTACAGGCATGTGCTGCCATGCCCCACTAATTTTTTCTGTATACTTTTAGTTAGCCAATTAATTTCTTTCTATTTTTAGTAGAGATGGGGTTTCGCTCTTGCTCGTGCTGGTTTTGAATTCCTGATCTTGAGCAATCCTCCGGCCTCGGCCTCCCAGAGTGCTGGGATGGATTACAGATGTGAGCCACGGGCCTGGCCACAAACTCTATTTTAATTCCTTGTAGTTTTCTTGCAGTGCATCTATCTCCCTCTTCCTATTTTTTGGTGTGGTTCTCTCCTTGTTCCCATGACTGTCTTTGTGGGTGTCTCTAGGTATGTCTGTATCCAAACAGATCTCTCTGTATGTACCTTGTTCTGCATGCATTTTCCATCTATTTTTAAGACTCTATGTTTGTGAACCTGGGTGTATTTCTTAGTACCTTTTTTTTTAACTGTCCCAATATGTTTGTTTTTCTTCAAAACAATTTTTCTTCATTGGTTTTCCTGTAACTTTGGTCCCATTAATGTCTTCATGTCTCTCCCTAACTCTGTCCATGCTTCTCTTACTTTTTTGCACTGCCAGTTTCCTTGCCTACTTTTTTTTTTTGGAGACAGAGTCCCAAGCTAGAGTGCTGTGGTATCAGCCTAACTCACAGCAATCTCAAACTCCTGGGCTCAAGCAATCCTCCTGCCTCAGCCTCCCAAGTAGCTGGGACTACAGCCATGCACCACCATGCCCAGCTAATATATATATATATATATATATTTTTTAAGTTGTCCAGATAATTTCTTTCTATTTTTTTAATAGAGACGGGGTCTCGCTCTTGCTCAGGCTGGTCTTGAACTTCTGAGCTCAAGCTAGCCACCTGCCTCGGCCTCCCAGAGTGCTAGGATTACAGGCCTGAGCCACCACCCCCGGCCTTCTTGTCTACTTCTTTTCCTACCTACCTACCCCAATGCTTTGATTTTAACCTAATTACCTCTTTAAAGGCCCTGTCTCCAAATAGAGTCACATTCTGGGGTACAGGGTGTTCAAGATATGGACTTTAGCATATGAAGTTGGGGGAGACACAACTTAGGCCATAATGGTGCCCCAGGGTGGAGAAAAGGAACATCTGGATCTTTGGTTTCTGTAGTAGAAAGCACTCACCACCTTCTACTAAGACTAGTCACAGCAGAGGCCTCCCCAAGGGAGAATGAGATACTAATGAGAAGGGGAGGTGGAGTGGATCCTGGACAGTGATGAGAAGTGTCCACTATTCCTTCATAATGGAGACTCTGAAAAGGAGCAGTAATTCACTCACACTCTTTTTCATTTCTTCTCAGTCTTCAACCATAGATTGTCAAACTTCTGTTTCTCAGTTGTCAAACTTCTGTTTCCCTTGAAACTAGTCAAGCAAAGGTCATTGGTAATAATCTGATTGCCACATTGAAAGAATTATTTCTTGAATCCTTTTCTACAACATTTAGTACTGCTGGCTACTCCCTCCTTGGAGAGCTGTCCTCCCTGAGCTTCCCTGTTCTCTCTTCTTTGGCCCTTCCTACCCAAACTCCTTTGTCAGCTGTTCTTCCTTTGCATGCTCTGTAAACATGTCTGTGTGCCCACTTTCTGTCATGGGCTCTCTCTTCTTCTCCTCTACCTCCCAGCCCCTCCTTCCTTCCCCACACTGTCCCTCTTTTTTTCTCACTCAATGCTCTTACATGTTATCTATACTTTATCTTAACCTAAGATCTCTAGATGGGTTCACATGGGACTTCTTAAATTACCGGGAAAATGGTATGTATATTTGCATCTTTTCTTGGGAGAAGGCCTAGAGCTTTTATGAGAAGTTTAAAACATCAACTATGTTGGAGCCTCCTAAATCATGTCATTAGTTCAGCCAGTCTTCTGAGTTCCAGGGCCGTATGTCCAACTGCAGACTTGGCATCTTCACCTAAAGATGCCACCTCCACAACTACATCAAAATCAATAATGTCAAAAACCGAGATCATTATCTCTCCCTCCCAAAGCTTGCTCCTCTTCCTATATTTCTTAAATCCCTGAAGGCTTCTGCAATTCTCCTAATCACTCAAATCAGAAAGTTGAGCACCGCCCAGACCTCTCCCTCTCCATCACTCCACATAGTCAATCACTCACCCAAAGTGTTGTCCATTCTACCTTTTTAACATCTCCTCTAGACACTTCCGTTGCATTTCCACTTTTTTTTTTTTTTTGAGACAGATTCTCACTCTGTTGCCCAGCCTAGAGTGCTGTGGCATCAGCCAAGCTCATAGCAACCTCAAACTCCTGGGCTCAAGCAATTCTCCTGCCTCAGGCTCCCAAGTAACCAGGACTACAGGCGCATGCCACCACATCCGGCTAATCTTTTCTATTTTTTTTTTTTTAGTAGAGACAGGATCTCACTCTTGCCCAGGCTGGTCTCGAACTCCTGAGCTCAAGCAATCCTCCTGCCTCGGCCTCCCAGAGTGCTAGGATTACAGGCGTGAGCCACCATACTCAGCCACATTTCTACTTCTTTTTTTTTTTTCTTTTGAGACAGAGTCTCGCTTTGTTGCCCAGGCTAGAGTGAGTGCCGTGGCGTCAACCTAGCTCACAGCAACCTCAAACTCCTGGGCTCAAGCAATCCTGCTGCCTCAGCCTCCCAAGTAGCTGGGACTACAGGCATGCGCCACCATGCCCGGCTAATTTTTTGTATATATTAGTTGGCCAATTAATTTCTTTCTATTTTTTATAGTAGAGACGGGGTCTCGCTCTTGCTCAGGCTAGTTTCGAACTCCTGACCTTGAGCAATCCGCCCGCCTCGGCCTCCCAGAGAGCTAGGATTACAGGCGTGAGCCACCGCGCCCGGCCCATTTCTACTTCTTAAGCAGGATTTCCTGTCTCTCAACTATATTGTTGAAATAACCTCCCAACTTTTCCCTTCACCTTCAGTCTCTCTCCCCTCTAAATCATTTCTCAGATTGCTATCGGAGTAATTTTTATAAAATGTAAAACTGAAAACCTTTTACTAGTTCCCAGTAGCTTTCAGAATAAAGTATGCACTGTTCACCCTGACATACAAAGCCCTTCATGATGACCTGGTAAGTATTAACTGAGTGCCAGACCTTGTGCTAAATGTTAGGGACACAGTGGTAAACAAGATGAACAGATTCCCTGCTCCCAAAGACCTTTCAGTCCACAAATGTGTCGAGTTTACAAAGGAGAAACACAAACTTCTAAAGGAATTAGCAGTAGGGGTGTGACAACCTCATTTTGAAAACCAAGGAAGGCCTCAACATCCCATCTTGTACTTATAATTGTAACCAACAGGTATGGTTTCAGATATGGAACCAACAACTTTAGCTGCGTTATCTCATTTAAACCTCACAACTCCTTGGGGTTAGTACCATTACTGTTAGCCTTATTTTACAGATAGGGAAACTGAGGCCTAGAAGGCTTAAATAGTGGTGGAGTTGGAATCCCATCCCAGAGTCATCTGAGACCCTGATGTCTTAACCTTTTAGACGCTTCTGCTTCTCTTTTGTAGCACTCCCTAGGCCTGTGAAACCACACCCAGCTCTGCAAACGCACCAGCCTATGTCATTCCAAGACTTTGCTCGTGCCTCTGTTTTTGCCTGGAATGCCTCTTGCCCTCAAAAATCTTCCTGCTGAACACACAATTATCTTGTGATCTAATGAAAGTGTTCTCCCTTCCATGTAGGCTCCTCCCCCAGACAGAATTAGCCACCACATTCTTTGTGCATATACAGTGTTTCATAAACACTTTCATAGTCCTTGGAGCACTTCAGATCCTTATCTGGTGGTTTCCCCCTAAAAAACTGTGTTTCCCGGGGATGACAACCGATTGACCTCTGTAATCAGAAACTTTTGCTGAGCCTGGCATTCATTCTAATGTTGGAGGAAAGGTAAGTAAAGAGGAAGAGGAAGGGTCGGGCACAGTGGCTCACGCCTTGTAATCCTAGCACTCTGGGAGGCTGAGGCGGGAGGATTGCTTGAGCTCAGGAGTTCAAGACCAGCCTGAACAAGAGGGAGACCCTATCTGTACTATAAATAGAAAGAAATTAGCTAAAAAGCTAAAAATAGAAAAAATTAGTCGGGCATGGTGGCATGTGTCTGTAGTTCCAGCTACCCAGGAGGCTGAGGCAGAAGGATCGCTTGAGCCCAGGAGTTTGAGGTTGCTGTGGGCTGGGCTGACGTCACAGCGCTCTAGCCCAAGTGACAGAGTGAGACCCTGCCTCAAAAAAATAAAAAATAAAAATAAAAAAGCAAGAGGAGGAGGAAGGGAGAAAAGAAAAGGCAAGCATGAAGACAGACTCTTCAATGTGAGACATCCCAAGGCCATCTGCCCCTCTGTAAAAATCTTGCGTTTTATCTCACTGTAAAATTAACCCTTACTACCCCAACAACGCTTAATTTGAGGATTGTTCAACAAGCACTTAAGCACTTCATGAAAACCAACTGAATGGTTCCCTTCCTCTAGCCGTCCCTCTCTCTCCTCCTGCACTCTCTCTCCTCTTCTTCCTATCTAGCCCACCCTCTCTTCGGCCAACATCTCCTCTCTTCATTCAAGGACTGCAGACAAAAGACAAAAGTCAGAGAAGAAAAGAAAACCTCAAAGAAGGAAAACTAAGTGAGCACCTTGTCTCAGAAGTCACATGGCAGAAAGCCACCGGGGTAGCTGTGAAGAATAGAGAGGGCTGAGGGAGGTCCCCCTATTGCCTCAGAGACCACTCACGGGCCTGAAGACCTGCTTCTGTTTCAGGTTTCCCAGATAAGCCTCTGCAGTGGACAGCAAGGAGATGGAAGTTGCCAGATACTGGCCTGGATTTGGCAAGACATAAATGAATCACTTGGGAAGGAGCACTGGGATGGCAGCCTGGTTCATTTCTGTTGTGCACCTAGACGCCTAATCCAAAGGCCTAGGACAAGAGGGGCTGCTGCAAGAACACGCACGGTGGCTGGGGGAGGAAGGGGATGGCGAACGGGAATGATCAGCCACATCCGCCTGGGAGCAAAACAAAACAGAACCAAACCTGTGTAGTGACTTTCATATGCTCCTGGAGTGGGAAGGGCCTTAGCCTGAAGCAGGCTCATGGGCACTTGTGCCAGCCCCTGACTCCACTCCACCCCTGCCAAGTGTCGTGTGCACACGTCTGTTTGCTGCTCGCCACCTGGGCTTTCCCAAGCCGGGTAAGACCCGTCTTGGGTGTCCAGTAGCCCGCTGGGGGAGCGGTACTACCAAGCAGGGTCACTTGGTTTTCTGTCTGGGATCCAGACAGCTGTGAGAGTAAACAAAGTAAGGGGGGGGGGAGGATGAGGAGACGGGAGAAGAGGTTAACAATCTTACCACTTCCTGGCCCCCACGCCACCTCCTTTTCTTGTAAGGACCCAGGGAGCCCATGGCTGCTAGACTCCCAGACCAGGCCGGACCCAGTGGGCCCGAGGGCCCAGGCTGACCTGCGCCAGTGTGGCTCAGCACAGCCCCGGTAGCACCGTGAGGAAGGTAAACAGTTCCTGTTCTCTCCTCTCCACCCCCGACCTTTTCTGTGATCCTTTCAGCCTTTCCCTGGTGTTTCCTCCTCCCAGCGCCCATTTCTCTTCCACTGCCTGAGTTTGTTCTAACAGAGAACAGGAATCTAATGATCAAAATCACACTAAGAAGTTAATAGGCTGGGCGTGGTGGCTCACGCCTGTAATGCTAGCATTTGGGGAGGCTGAGGCTGAGTCTGGGCAACGTAGCAAGACCCCATCTCTACCAATGGGAAAAAAGTTAATGGCACCTGTGGATTACATGCCCCAGGGGCATGTGCATTTTGAATTTTGAAAGAAAAAATGTGGGTGGAGATAATGTGGAGGCTGAGACACTTCTAGTGGTCTGCAGATTTTAAATTACGTCTTACTGTATGCAGGCAAGCCCTGGCTGGCTGGAGATGGGTGTGGGCCAGGCAGGGGAGTGAGAAATTCTGGGTAGAATGAAAGGACCCCTCAGGGAAGGAAGGGCCCTCCCCCGTGAGTCTCCATCCCAGGATCATGCTGTGCATTCTTAGCCCTAGGTGGACCCAAACCCAGGAGATGGGGGGCAAGCACCCCGGGACTGCTGAGAGCGCCTCACAGACTGTGTGCCCTGGTGCTCAGCTGCAGACTGTGCCCAGCAAAGGGGCCACACCGCCTTAGCTTCTCCTCCAGGCTCTCTCCTTCCTGTTCCTGCCCTATCATGGGTTCACTGGTCAGGGTTTGGATTTGGGAGTCAGATGATGTTCCCGGAAAAGGCAGCGGGTGAGTGACGGAAGCTGGTGAGTGACTGACGAGGGGATTGGGGGAAAGACTGTTTACTTCCTCTTTTCTAGTTAGCTGGGTTCCTTTAGGGTTCCACATATCTGTGGTGACTGGTCCCCTCTAGTGCTGCATCATGTGGCAGCTGCTACTGCAGATGGCTCTGCTAGTTCTGGGTAAGTCAGGGGCTCTCTGGCTGAGGGAGAAGCCCAGGATGCCCTGGGTGGCTCAGAGACTCCTCTACAGGTCAGGGATGGGACTCAGGACAAACCAACTGGGGCTTCTGATTTGGGCATAGTCATGAAGTGAAGAGGAGCAAGGTCAGTTACTTCACCCCTCTGGGTTTCAGTCTCTACGTGTAAATTGAAGAGCTTGGACTAGATGGTCCCTAAGGTCTGTCTCTTCCAGTCTGCTATTCCAGGGTTCCCTCCTAACCCCATGAGTTTTCATTTTTACCCTTTCTGGGAAGTTTGGGTTGAGGTTGTTTCTGTGCTTGATTCAGGGAAATTCAGTCAGTACTTTAATTTGTGAGTTTGAACAGGAAACAAGGAGTAAGAGAATGGTGTTGAAAGTAGGGATTCAGGTGGCTGGTGGGGCAGGAAGCATGGACACTGGAGACCAGAGATCAGGCAGCAGGAGAGGTATCCACTAGAAATCCTGATTCTTGGGAATACCAGGCTCCTGGGGCAGAGGCAGGTAGGGAAGTTTTAAACTCATTTGACACTCCAGGCACGCTGATCTCCGCTCTTGCTCAATATTTGATTCATTCTTTTTTTCTTGCAGTTTCAGCTGACATGCAGGCTGGTGAGTTTGCTTCATGGTCTTGGTTTGCTCAAATGAGGCACATACGGGTGCAATGTCCACAGGACATCAGGAAATGTCCGTTGCATGGGAAACTGCTGATGGATGTGAGCAGGAGCAGCCCCCCAACACAGTGGGTGTGGGCCCTATGCTGCTCTGGCCAGTTTTCCTCAAGATCCATAGAAGGCTTGGCCAGGCGTGGTGGCTCATGCCTATAATCCTTGCACTATTGGGAGGCCGAGGCGGGAGGACCGCTGGAGGTCAAGAGTTCAAGACCAGCTCTGAGCAAGAGCGAGACCCCGTCTCTACTAAAAAAAAAAAAAAAAAAAAAATAGAAATAAATTAGTTGGACAACTAAAAATACATAGAAAAAGAATTAGCCAGGCATGGTGGTGCATGCCTGTGGTCCCAGCTACTTGGAAGGGTGAGGCAGAAGGATTGCTTAAGCCCAGGAGTTTGAGGTCGAGCTAGGCTGATGCCACGGAACTCTAACCGGGCAACAGAGTGAGACTTTATCTCCAAAAAAAAAGAGATATGTAGCATGCCAAAAATGGGGCAAAGATGCTCTCATACTGAGTCATCAAGTGTGGGTTTCCAGTGGGCTCACACTGGCTTTGAGCCTCCCTGGGAATGCCAGCACGGGGCCTGCTCCTCTCCCTGTCCTCATACCACGTTCTCATGGCTCCTCAGCAGATCCCCCAAAGGCTGTGGTGTTCCTAGAGCCTTCATGGGATAGGGTGCTCCAGGGCGACAGCGTGACTCTGAAGTGCCAGGGGGACTACGCTCCTGGAAACACGTCCACAGAGTGGTTTCACAATGGGAGCTTCATCTCAAGCCAGAACTCAAGCTACTTCATTGAAGCTGCCAGAGTTGAGGACAGCGGAGAGTACAGGTGCCAGACATCGCTCTCCATGCTCAGTGACCCAGTGCAGCTACGAGTCCACAACGGTGAGTCGGTGAAAAGGAAGAGGGGACTCACCAATAAAGGGGTGAAACAAGGCACCCTGACATACTTGGGAAGAGCCAGAAGCTGGTGTTCTTGGGGATTAAAATTAAGGTGATGATTAAAATTAAGATGATGTTCTTGGGGGTTAAAATTAAGGAGATAATCTGTGGTCCCACTGAATGATATCAGAGTTATAGTCCTAGCTATAAGTAGGCATTAGGCAAAATGTCAAAGCCTGCCAAATAATAGATATGGGTCCATTGCACTGCCCTGCACAATTCTAGAAATCACCACACACATCGAATGCATGAATAGTGTGAACGTGTCATCTGGAGGTCAGGACATGATATTGATAGCTACCTCCCAAATCATCGCTAATGGTCTGGCATCATCTCTCTCTCTCTCTCCCCTCCTCCTCAATGCCATACTCAAACTTACACTTCAGTGTAAATTTGGCAATTTATACTTTTCCCAATGGAGATATATACATGCTGAGCTTGCATATCAATCATGGAATGAAAGTCTTTGTATACTAGTAACAGAATCTAGGCATCAGAATCAGGTAGGGGAAATATTTTGGAGGAGGGAATCTTTCCTGGCATCCCTAGAGTCACACCCCAAAGCCTGGTAACTGCAGGGTAGCCTTGCAGGCCTGACTCTACTTCCATGGCTGCTGCATTTATACAACGTCTATGGGTGGAACAAGCCTGGAGAGGAAGGTGAGCATAACAGAGTTGGATCTGCAACAAAGTTCAAAAGAATTGAGCCTCTGAAATTCCTTTTCATGGTTCCTTTGTCTCTGACTGTACCATCCACCTGACATGGTCCTCACTCTACAGAGCTACAAGAAGAAATGTTAATTATTTAGCTAGGTGAGAGATGGCACCCAAGATCAATAAAATGGGGATTTACCAAGAGGAAACAATAGAAAAATCAAGTCTGGGAGTTGTTAGTTTGCCTTGAACTTGGCTCTAGAAACTGGCTTTAGAAGTCTAGTCAATGAGGGCTGTATTAAAGTGGGACCATGAGAGTTAACTTCATCAGGCAAACTCCTAATCATCCTTCAGCACCCCTTTCACTTATCTCCTCCTCTGAGAAGCTTTCTTTGCTTCTTGCTTTTTTCAGGCAGAATTTCTTTATCTCAATCTTGTTGGCCTTGCAGTCCTTTGATCTCAGCCTGTTGAAGCACTTATCACATTGTATTGTAATTATTTCTGTGTGTGTGTTTCTATGTCTAGACTGTAGATTCTTTGAGGTTAGGGACCATGTGTCTTGTCATCCAGCTGTCTCCAGTCTGCACAATGCCTGGTACATAGTGAATGCTCAGTAAAGTATTGGTTGAATTAATATATATAGAGAGAGAGCAAGAATCCATGACAAGACAGATTGGAATAGGAATGTTCCTCAAAGGCCACTGGACCATACATACATATATATATATATATACATACATATAAAATATCAATCATAATCTTATGCTAATAATGATCCATCTCTCTCTCTCTCTTTTATTTTTTTTCTGAGACAGAGTCTCGCTTTGTTGCCCAGGCTAGAGTGAGTGCCATGGCATCAGCCTAGCTCACAGCAACCTCAAACTCCTGGGCTCAAGCAATCCTGCCGCCTCAGCCTCTCAAGTAGGTAGCTGGGACTACAGGCATGTGCCACCATGCCCGGATAATTTTTTTTTATATATAGTTGCCAATTGATTTCTTTCTATTTATAGTAGAGACGGGGCTTGCTCTTGCTCAGGCTGGTTTTGAACTCCTGATCTTGAGCAATCCTCCCACCTCAGCCTCCCAGAGTGTTAGGATTACAGGCGTGAGCCACCGAGCCTGGCCTGATTCATCTCTTTGCCAAAAAAGTAAGTGGATATATAAGCACATGGCCTTTTTTGAAAAATAAAGTTTTGTTTTGTTTGAGACAGAGTCTCACTGTCGCCCGGGTTTGAGTGCCATGGCATCAGCCTCAAACTCCTGGGCTCAGGCAATCCTCCTGCCTTGGCCTCCCAGAGTGCTAGAATTACAGGCGTGAGCCATCACATCCATCCCAGAAGGTAATCTTTATTGCTTATTAAAATGCATTACTGGCCAGGCCTAGTGGCTCATGCCTGTAATCCTAGCACTCTGGGAGGCTGAGGCAGGAGGATTGCTTGAGCTCAGGAGTTAGAGACAACCTGAGCAACAGCGAGACCCATCTCTACTAAAAATAGAAAAATAACTGGGCATCATGGTGTGTCCTGTAGTCCCAGCTACTCAGGAGGCTGAGGCAGGAGGATCACTTGAGCCCAGGAGTTTGAGTTGCTGTGAGCTAAACTGACGCCACGGCCTCTAGCCCAGGTGACAGAGTGAGAGACTCTGTTTCCAAAAAAAATTTACCTTCTGTTTGGCAAATCTTCCTGTAGAGAACTTCATCAAAACATATTCTCCCAATTTTGTTTAGCATGAGGTAGTAGATTTGTTTCTTAAATTATTTAAATTACAGTAAAGTTTTTTTTTTTTATTACAAAATCATTCAAGTTCAATTTCAAAAATATATAAAATAAAAAGGAAAAAATTAAAAATATCTTTGGTCCTACTCCCTCAGAAAAAACTCTATTAATAGCTGGGTGCGGTGGCTCACACCTGTAATCTTAGCACTCTGGGAGACCCAGGCGGGAGATTGCTCAAGATCAGGAGTTCGAGACCAGCCTGAGCAACAACGAGACCCCCATCTCTACTAAAAATAGAAAGAAATTAATTGGCCAACTAAAATATATAGAAAAAATTAGCCGGCGCATGGTGTACAATGCTTGTAGGCCCAGCTACTTGGGAGCCTGAGGCAGAGGATCACTGGAGCCCAGGAGTTTGAGGTTGCCTTGAGCTAAGCTGACGCCATGGCACTCTAGACCAGGCAATAGAAGTGAGACTCTGTCTCAAAAAAACAAAACACCCTATTAATATTAATGTCATATCCTTCTTTTTTTTTCTGTGCATATATACTTTTGGTATTATGCCTTTTTAATTTATTGTCTCATAAGTTTTTCTCATGCCATTATAATATTTTATCTATAATATCATTTTTTAATTATTCAGGTCCCTTCCTGACTATGACTTCATGTTCTGTCTGTGTGGAGTCTGATCTCTTGGTGAAATAGTTGTGACAACAAATTTCCTAGTGATTTAAGAATTTTTCTCAGGCCAGGCGTGGTGGGTCACGCCTGTAATCCTAGCACTCTGGGAGGCTGAGGCAGGAAGATCCCTTTTGAGCTCAGGAGTTTGAGACCAACCTGAGCAAGAGCGAGACCCCCTTTCTCCTAAAAATAGAAAAAATTAGCTGAGCGTGGTGGCATGCACCTATAGTCGCAGATACTTGGGAGACTGAGGCAGGAGTATCTCTTGAGCCCAGGAGTCGGAGGTCGCAGTGAGCTCTGACAACACCACCGCACTCTAGCTAGGGCAACAGAGTAGAACCTACCTGTTCTCACAAAAAAAAAAAAAAAGAAGAATTTTCTCTCTCGCAGGCCATGCTCAGTAACGAAAATGGTTTCACTGAGGCCCTTCGGCCCTTCAGAAACCACTGATTCCTGCCACAAGCGCTACCAGTCATTCCTTTCCCTCCTGACTTCTCCGCTGAGTGCCCCTTCATGATTTCTGTGGCCTCTTCTCCGGCCACTCAGTCACCTTATTGCTAACTGCTGTAGAAGTCTTTCAGTTTTCCTACGACTGCCTATTCCTTCTGAAATCTACCTTTTCTCGAATGGGGCGAATCATCATTTTCAAATGTAATTTTTACTCTTTGATTCAGAATCTGCTGTGACTCCTTATTGCGTGTCATAGCAAATCCAAGACTAGCACTTAAGGATTCTGCAGTTATCCCCAACATTGCTTCCCACCTGCCTCATTACTTAGTCCCTCTGCTCGAACCTTATGCTTTGATTGTGTATGTGTGTGTGTGTCCCTCTTCCCCACTAGATAAAAGGTCTTGGTGTGACTTGAGTTCTCTCGCAGGGCCTAGTCAGCCTTTCCCCAAAGGGAGCTATGTAGGAATGGCTTCCAGTCTGGCTTTTCCTGATGTCCCAGGGTTTGGGGGGTGAGTGTCCCCTTCACAAGAGTTCTGCACTAAGAGCCGAGGCTCCCGGGGCCTGGGGTCTCTGTGTCTTTCAGGCTGGCTTGTGCTCCAGGCTCCTCGGTGGGTGTTCCAGGAGGGGGAGCCCATCCACCTGAGGTGTCACAGCTGGAAGAACACTCCTCTGCGTTTAGTCACATATTTACAGAATGGCAAAGGCAAAAGGTTTTACCATTGGAATTCTGAGCACCACATACCAAAAGCCACACCTCATGACAATGGCTCCTACTTCTGCAGAGGGCTTGTCGGAAAGAAAAACGTGTCTTCGGAGACTGTGAACATCATCGTTCAAGGTGAGACACGTGCAACCCTAGAGGGCCCACAGCCCCCTGCGTGTGGAGCCTCCCCTCACACTGGGAAGATGAGTCGGGAGGAGATTTCCAACTCTTCCGCAGACTTCTTTACATAGGTTTCCCCACTGCTGACCAGCAGAGACCTGACAAGCCCTGATTGCTGGGTAGGTTTGCAGTTCTGTTTCAGCCTCTTGCTTAGAGGTAGCTGAGAAGTGTCATTCACTCTGCAGTGTGATAACAGGAGCAGAAGCCACACCCCCCCATAACAATAATATACATAACAATAAATATACCTGTCCTTACCCCAGCCACACCCATGATGTCATGTGTCCCTATTATGCTGTCCCATCTTCACCCTCATACAAGTCTTAGCCAAGAGATAAAAGGGCGGGAGCCCTTCATCCCCTCACAGAAATGGCTCGGAAGCTGACTTCCAGCTCTGCAGCTAATTGCCAGCGGGTGAGCCACTTAGTCTCTCTGAACCCCAATTTCTTCTTCTGAATCAAAGGGAAGCTGACATTTAGTGGGCACTTTTCACTGTGGTAGACATTGGGCTAAACAATTCTTTACATGCACCTAGTTTGATCATTGCCCTTCACAACATTATGAGATAGGCAATATTGGCTCCATTTACATGGAGTAACTCAAGTGCAATAAATAAGTAAATAAAATTTGTCCCTAAGGTCACACCAAAGACCTTGAAACCTATATATTTAACCATTAGGTAAAATGAAAGAATTTAACAGGCACAAATATCCTATGTTGGAATTTTGGATCCCATTAAGTGACCCAGAAAACATCTCTAGTTTCTATAGGGCCAACCTCCAGGGTCAGAGATCTGGCGTGGTATTCCTGGACTTCTTTCTGGAACTGGACCAAGACCTAAATTCTAAATAATTTTCATGTATAAAGGCAGCAAAACGCCTTTTGAGATTTTGACAAAACAATTCCATAATTTGTATAAAAATAATTTAATTACACTTTAAATTGAAAGTAAACCCTCTCAAATGGTTAGGGAAAGAGAGAGAAAATAATGAAGCTAATGGGGTAAAATGCAAACAATTAGCAAATCTGGGTGAAGGATATATGAGAGTTCTTTATACTATTCTGGTAAATCTTCTCAAGTCTGAAATTACATCAAAATTAAGAGTTAAAAAATTGAAACTAAAAGTCCATAAATTTGTCCCAGTTTATAGACAACAGCACTGACTGACAATTTCATAATTGTCACACAACACCCAGCTACCACCTAACTTGCTAACATTCCCTGTCACATCTCCATCAAATAAGCAGAAGCAGAGTGACTCTGCTCAGACAGCACCAAGATCAGGAGTCCCTGGGAAGAAGCAAAGGCTTCCCTGAGACTCCCCACCATTCCTGCAACCTGTCTCTTGGCAGGTGTCAGGAAGACTCTCCGCAGGTAACCTCACTATGCCCAATTTCTGCCTTAATGACTGTCATTTTTCTCATACCTCTACTTGTCCTACTAGGCTCCACAAGTCTATCTGTCTCACTGCCCTTTCCGCCTTGGCATCAAGTCGCTTTCTGCCTGGTGATGGTAATCCTGTTCGCAGTGGACACGGGACTGTATTTCTCTGTGCAGAGAAAGCTTCGAAGCCCACCAAGGAACTGGAAAGACCACAAATTTAAATGGAGCCAGGACCCTCAGGACCAATGACCCGTTATCCCTTGGTGGGTAGTAAGAGCAGTGGCAGCAGCATCTCTGAACATTTCTCTGGATTTGCGACCTCATCATCCCAATTAGGCATCTCTGCGAGCAGCAGGAAAAACACAACTCAGACCCTGGGCTGAGGGCCCCCCACCCAATTCTCTATTTTCTCCTGATCTCCAATGGAAAGGAAGGGCCTGGGATCTTCAAGTGAAGCCCAGTGAGTAGCATCGTTCTGAGGAATTGAAGTGTCAAGGCTATACAACCACTTTCTCTGTCCCAATCACTCCCTCACAGCGAAGCAACAGCACAGGCTCTGGTTGGTGACCTTTAAATGTATAGGAGTTGTTCCTAAAGAAATAGACCAGCAGAATTAGTGGTGGAGCAGAGCCAGCTAGACAGTGGTCTGCATCTATTGCTGCAGGGCTGTTTGCATTCAGGGGATCCCCAAACTCCAGACGAGAGTGTGGGAACTGCTGAGGATCTAGAGGATTCTGCAGAACCAGTGAAGGGAATGGGAGAGGAAGAGCAGGGCAGTCCAGGGTAGACCAGGGGAAGTACTCCCCTCTGGGCCCAGAGAGAAGTCTGTCTGCCTAGAACACGAGCCCTGGTGGAGGTAACAGGAAATCACAGAGGTGATGCAGAATTGAGTTTTCCAGGGGAGTCTCTATCAGAACTGGGATGGTCTGCAAGTATATACTGATGAACTCTCTTAATGCTGTGAGCAGAAAATGGTCCTAGGAAAGGGACAGGGGATTGGAAAAGAAAGCACACAACAAACCCTGTGCCTCACTGCCCCAGCTTAAGCTAAGTGAACAGATATCTCAGCATCTAAACTGAGAAATGATATGCAAGAGTCAACCATAAACACACAGGAAGGAAAGGGCAGGGGGGTGAAGATGCCTTTGTTGCCCAGGACAGTAAGAATTAGAGAGGAGGGGCAGGGACAATAAAACCAGCTTTTCTGTTTCGGTATCTGATTCAAGTATAGCTTTGATTACTTCATTTATCAAACATATGTTGGATAACCAATGCTAAATGTAGTGAACTCTACTGAGTAAATTATGAAACTTTGAAATCCCTCAGCATGTCGACACCAGTGGAGTGGGAATGGAAAAGGCAATTGCTGCTCATGGAGGAAAGCTTTCGCTATCTCTTTCTGTTTTAGAAGTTTCAAACAGAATATTTCTTGATTCCAATAAAGCATTTTATAATATCTTGCATGCTACTCTTACAAGATAGGAAAAAAACGTGGTAATAAAACATGAGTGATAAAATCCTTTTTGCTCTTTGTCCAAAATTCTATCAGAGATTGGTTTGGACTGATGAGAACCCTGCCCCTCTCCCCTTTTAGCAACCATCTCGCCACAATTCATATGAATTAGCCTGCTTGCTTTCCAAATCTTCCTGAGACGACTGGTTGAAGGGGCCTTTTTGTGGGCAGTGCAGGATAGGAGGGGGAGTGGGAATTAAAGGTAGTTTTAGAGCACTGGGGCAAGTAGGAAAAGGCACAGCAGAGGCAGGAGTTAGAGGCCAGGGCAGAGGTAGAGGGTCAGCCTGATTGTGTGAATCAGAGCTCGATAACAAGATGATTCAAGCTAGGTATAGACGTAAATGTTAGATGAGATTCAGACATGAGACAAGTGTATTTGGAAACCTTGGACATTCAAGTCACATTTATTTAGTACTTACAATGTGCCAAGTTTGAGTGTAGGTGCTGAGGATAACGGATGAACAACACAGGGTCATTCCCTGGAGGAGCTTTCATTCTAGTGAGCAAAACAGGTAAGTAAGAAGAGAGTGACGAAAGGGCTGCAGAGAAAAGGGTTAATTTTGGTGTAGTCATGAAGGATGAATAGGAGTTTGCCAGACAAAGGAGGAGAAAAACCGGAGGTCCATGGGCAAAGATTCAAAAGCCAGAGTATGGACTGGGCACGGTGGCTCACGCCTGTAATCCTAGTACTCTGGGAGGCTGAGGCGGGTGGATTGCTCAAGGTCAGGAGTTCGAAACCAGCCTGAGCAAGAGCGAGACCCTGTCTCTACTATAAATAGAAATAAATTAATTGGACAACTAATATATATAAGGAAAAAAAATTAGCCAGGCATGGTTGTGCATGCCTGTAGTTCCAGCTACTCGGGAGGCTGAGGCAGCAGGATTGCTTGAGCCCAGGAGTTTGAGGTTGCTGTGAGCTAGGCTGACGCCAGGGCACTCACTCTAGCCTGGGCAACAAAGCAAGACTCTGTCTCAAAAAAAAAAAAAAAAAAAAAAAAAAAAAAGCCAGAGTATGAAGTCAAGAAAGCAAATGGGTTCTGTTGGAGTCTGAAGGGTCAGTGAGGGACAGAAGAGAGGTTCAGGGCCAGATCATGGAGGGCACTGCCTTCCAAGCTAAGGAGATTGTATCAGGTGCTGCAAGCCATTGACAGAGTTTAAATAGATTAATCTTGTACTGTACAGTACTCTAGAAGGACTACTACTACTACTCTAGAAGGACCCTCTGGCAGCTACTTGGAGGAAGGATGAGAGAGGAGCGTTGAAGAGGGAACCACCTAGGGTGGCTAGGTAGTATGCAGTAACCCAAAGGCAGTAATGAGGGAATAAGTGGCGGCCAAGCAGGAGAGGAAGGTGCGTAGTCAAAAGATATTTAGGAGCCAGACTCTCCAAGAATTGGTAGCAAGAAGAACGTAGCGTGACTAAGGACCCAGGTTCCAGACATGGTGCCCATTTCATAGGCTAGGAAATACAAAGTCAAGGTAGGTACGAGTTTGGTGGGAAAGATGTAGAATTCATCTTTGGGTTGTTAGTAATTACTTCCTTTGGTAAATGATGCAATTTCAGTGGTTAACCTGCTAAAAATTCTACTTGCAACCCTAGTCGCACCAAATACCTCAAAACCGCTAGCAAAGTGCCTAGAGTGAGTTAGGTGCTGGGAACCACACCCAGCGTAGAGGCCAGCGGCTATAGCTAGGGCTTCTAGGGTTAGTGCCGAAGTTGCTTTTAAGTTTCAAGACATGAAGGTCCTAACCTCCCTAGGTTCACAAAACTCTGGCCTGCGTCCCTGGGTGGGCTCGAACCACCAGCCTTTCGGTTAACAGCCGAACGCGCTAACCGATTGCGCCACAGAGACAGGCAGAAACCATTTTTGCTGCCAATTCAGTTCACGGAAGAAAAAAATTCACAGTGTGCTCTGTGCCTCCAAAACATTGTGGTTGAGGCTGACTTAGAAACCAGTGGCACCACTACCTTTCTGCGCACCAGGGCGCGGCTGATAGCCCCGAGAGAGGCAGGTCTTTTTTCCGTTCCAGCCCTTGCTTACGGTAGATCTGGGACAGGACTCAGCTTCCACCCAGAAGAGTGATTGGACACACGATACAATACTTTTTTAATTTCAAAGTATTAAGTGGGAACATGGATAGCTTTTATAATGCTTAAGTCAGGGCTGTTAGTGTACCCATCACCCAAAGAGTATTCATTGTACCTGTTAGGTAGGCTTTTACTCCTCCCCTTCTTTCCCTTCTCCCCTGCTTGATTTCCAATGACTTTTACTTCTGTCTGTGCCCATGTGTGCCCATCGATTAGTTCCAAATTGTTAGAAAGTACATGTGGTGTTTGTTTTCCCATTCTTGAGTTACTTCACTTAGGACAATGGTCTCTACTTCCATCCAAATGGCAAGACGTTAATTCACTTCTTCTTTTTTTTTTTTTTTGTTGGAAAGTGGACTTGAAAATTTCACTTCTTTTTTTTTTTTTTTATTTTGGCATATTATGGGGGTACAGATTTTAAGGTTTCAATAAATGCCCATTTCCCCCCCAAAATTTCACTTCTTTTAATGGCTGAGTAGTACTCCATGGTATATGTATATATTGTTAATCCACTCAGTAATTGATGGGCACTTAGGTGGATTCCACATCTTTTCGATTGTAAATTGTGCTGCAATAAGCATTAGAGTGCAGGTTATCTTTTTAATAAAATGACTTCTTTTCCGTTGGGTAAAAACTCAGTAGTGGAATTGTTGGGTTGTTATACAACGTTTTTAATATTGCTGAGAAAAGAGGAGCAGAAGAGGATGAATGGAGGAAGGGTTTTGGGGAAATCCAAAATGGAAGCTTTCTATGGGTTCGAAAGTTCAGTTGGAGGCCGGGTGGAGGCGGTGGCTCACGCCTGTAATCCTAGCACTCTGGGAGGCTGAGGTGGGAGGATTGCTTGAGCTCAGGAATTCAAGACCAGCCTGAGCAAGAGCGAGACCCCGTATCTACTAAAAATAGAAACAAATTAATTGGCCAACTAAAAATATATAGAAAAAAAAATTTGCGGGGCATGGTGGCACATGCCTGTAGTAGCAGCTACTCGGGAGGCTGAGGCAGAAGGATCTCTTGAGCCCAGGAGTCTGAGGTTGCCGTGAGTTAGGCTGACTTCACAGCACTCTAGCCAGGGCAACAGAGTGAGACTCTGTCTCAAAAAAAAAAAAAAATCAGTTGGTTTTGCTTAGAAAAGTACATCAATAAGTTTTTCTGCTGGTCTAGATAATTTGTATGGGCATGTGTGCATGTCTGAGTATTGACTCATCATAAGCTTATTATTGTGAAAATTAAAAGTACTATATCACATGTCCAATCTCGTCCTGGAAAATGTAATATCTAAGTAAAGGAGCTTCAAACTACAAAATTAATCTTCGGTCCCAGCTGTGTCGAAAGGTTTCTAGAAGCTAGCATATTAGGCAAACAGAGCATGGAGTTTAAAATGCCAGTAACTTAAGGACTTTCATACTGACATATCTAGACCTGAAGAGCAGCATCAACCTAGAGATCCTTATCAGTGCTGGGCCTAATAAGCCATTTTCTATATTGACGGAGATCCAGGGCCCCTCCATAGTCTCTCCATGCAGAACCTCCTTCCTAGCCGCCTACGGCCATACCACCCTGAACGCGCCCGATCTTGTCTGATCTCAGAAGCTAAGCAGGGTGGGGCCTGGTTAGTACTTGGATGGGAGATCCTCCTTCCTTTCTGCACTGCCATCGTCTAATCAGTGCATTCCCATTTAGGTGCAGGTCAAAGTTTCCAATGGTGTTCAGTGAAATGAGAATACACACAAACATAGAAAAAAAATCAGTTGGTTTTGCTTAGAAAAGTACATCAATAAGTTTTTCTGCTGGTCTAGATAATTTGTATGTGCATGTGTGCATGTCTGAGTATTGACTCATCATAAGCTTATTTGTGCATGTGCAGAAATTATAAATACATGCATGTGTATATATATACATATACTTTATATCTTACATAAAATACATATTTGTACTGCATATGATACATAATTAAATATGTATGTTTTCCAAGTGACCTTTAATTTTTTTACACTTCAAAGTTTTGTTTTTAAATGTCCTTCCTTTTAATAAAATTATAACTAGGATAGATGATAGTTGTGGCTGTGGCTGTTTTGTTAATTTCTTAACTTGGCAAAATAAAAAGCTGGAAACCCTGTATTTGTAGCCAATATTGTGGGATAAATTTAGCTCATCTGTGAAGTCTGATTTAGATTTCACCAATCATAACCAAAACCACCCAGATGTTTTCTGTCTCTTTAAAACTTCCTCTGCTCTTTTTGGGAACTGAAGCCTGCATCCTGCCTCAGGCAGGTGGTCAGAGGAGCCGGGGAATGTCTTTTGTCCTTTGTATTACAGGAGATAGTTCAGCTATCCCAGGCTTAGTGGCAGCACCACGCCACCACCACCGGGTAGGTGGAGGTCATGGCTTTGACTTTGGCAGAGATGGGACTATTAGAATTACTAACAATAGCCCAGAACTGGGGGCCCTCCCTTCAAAAGCTCTGTATTTCTGCTTATGTTCAGGAAATTTGGATTTAGAGATGAGAGTCTACCATTTTTCCTCCTTTGCCAGCAAAGTAATAAGCTTCTCTTTCCTTCTCCTCAAAAGAAAAGAATTTTCTATG